AGATGACTTCCCAAAAAACATACTTTAGGTGTGTGAGAAGCACCCTCATCTTGAGTTCAGGTGGTTCCTCAATAGAAGGAATAAGATGTTTATTTTTTTTATGTATCTAAAATCTTAAACCTCTCTTAAATAAATTTTAAATTTCTGTATCCAATAGATCAGATTCATCATAAAAGTCTAGAATATTTTTGTCCTTAAAATCCTACTCTACTAATTTATCTTTATAACTATTTTGGAAATGGTTACAACCCAAATTATGAATTACGTCCACAAGAAAAGATGCATATTCATTTCCTTTAGAAGGATACTTCATAAATTTTAAGACATTAAATGTAACCTCCTGAACATTTACTCTCATTGTTAATTCATCTTTTTGCACATCTATCATATCTCTCGTAGTGGCTAGGAAATGTCTACCTAAATAATTAGAATTTCTTTATCTTCCTCTATATCTAAAATGACGATGAATCTTCTACTTGACTTAAACATCTTCTATAACTTCCTTTGGAAAAGTCATCGATCAATTAGCAAGCTGAAGGGTTACAGTGGTAGGAGACACTTATCCTAATCATAACCTTCTGAAGACTGACAATGGTATAAAGTTTTTACTTGCTCCGAGTTCACATAAAGCTTTTCTATAAAATTCTTCTTCTATTGCACAAAGAATAGTAAAAATTTCAGAATCCCTAAGTTTCTTAGGAATCTTCTTTTGAATAATAGCACTACACTCTTCACTAAGTGCACCTGTCTTATAGTCTCCAAACTTCATCTTCTTGTTAAGAATATCCTTTATAAATTTTACATAATTATGCATTTTCTCCAAAGTCCCATAAAAAAATAATAATTATTATCTTCTTAAAAACTTTCAAAATTTTCAAAAATTGTTGTTCCAACTTATGTTGTTGAAGTTTGAGGAAATGGAAGTGGTGATTTTTCTAGATTAATCATAGTTTGAAAGAATAGTTTTTTTATGTCTTTGGAGATGTTCTCCAAAAATTTTTTTGTTTTCACAGTCTCTTTTTCAACATCAATCTCTTTTCGAACTACATCGTCCAACTCACTTCCATTACTTAATTGGATAGCTTTTACATGCTCACTATTTTTCTCCTTAAGATTAATCTCAGTGTTGCTAGGTGGAGTTCCTTGGGGTCAACGACTAAGGGAGTTAGCAATCTCTACCAATTGATTCTCTATGTTTCTTATTGTGGCACCTTGACTTTGCAGTTGATTTCACATTTGCAATGCAAACTCCTTTCAAGCCAACTTCTTCTCCTTAATTTATGGATTATTGTTAAAGCCTGAAGGATAAGAAGATCTATAGTTGGAATTTCCCTGGTTCTTAAAATTTCCTAAAATATTTACATGATTACTACCCCATTGTTAGTTTCCCCCACCAAAATTGTCATTCTAGTTAAAATTATGATGGTTCTTCCAACCTGAGTTATAGAAAATAGAATATGGGTTGTTTGGTTTATTGTTAATTACATTTAAGGTCTCAAAAAATGAAGTACTGGCATCGACCATTTGTCCAAATGAATTTTTCTCAATTACTAGAGGTATTTAAGGTTGGTTCATTCCAAATTGATCTAGCTTCATTGATATTGCTGCTACCATAGAAGAAGAATTAATAGCACATCTGTGTTATGCAAACTAACTACCTTTCTATGGTTTACTCTTTTAAAAGGCCATTGGAAATCATTATTGGCCTTCTCTTCAATCAAAGAGTAAGCTTCATCAAATGTATTTGACATGAGTGATCCATCAGATGCAAGATCAATAATAGATCTAAAGGATCCTACTAAACCATTGTAAAAAAGTATGAATTATTAACCAATTGGAAAGTGCTTGATATGGGCACTTCATAAGAAGTTCCTTAAATTGTTCCCATGCCTCTTAAATCAAATCACCATCTAACATGAAAAATAAAGTAATGTCATCCCTAAGTTTAGCAGTTTTGAAAGTGGGAAATATTTTGCCAAGAATTTTTTTAATAAGTCACTCCAAGTCCTAATTGATCTAGGTGTTAATGAGTCTAACCATATTTTAGCATTATTCCTTAAGGAGAAGGAAAAAATTCTAAGACTAACAGTGTCGTTTGACACACCATTATAACGAAATGTAGCATAAAGTTTAAGAAAAGATGCTAAGTGTAAATTTGTATCCTCAAACGAGGTTCCCCCAAATTGGTTGTTTTTCATCATTTGGATAGTAACATGCTTCAGTTCAAAATTGTTAGCTTCTATGGTAAGAGTTTGATTACTAAAGTGAAATTCATTTACCGTAAGATTAGTGTAATCCCTTAATGGTCTATGGCGTTATGATGTTCATTAATTGGTATTTAGTTATCTAAATTGTTCTGTTGAATGTTCATCTTTACTCCTTCAAGTTCTTGTAGTCGTTTCTATTTTCTAAATTTTCTAATTGTTCTCTCTTGTTCTAAATGCATGACACAAGTCATATAGGTCCTGAACTACGCATACACAACTAAAGTTCCAAATAATAAATTTAGCACAAAGACACATGACAAACACTCAAAAATAACCTTTTCTTTTAAAAAAAAAATTCTTTCCTTTCCAAACAAAAAACACCTACACAATGAGACTACAATATAATTTTCCAAATTTAAGTCTAATTAATTCAACTAAAATTTTCTAAAGGTAACTACATCATAGCTCCCTGACAATAGCGCCAAAACTTGATACCCTTCTTGGTCAAGGTGCACTTGCACACTAGGGTTTTACGCAAGTATACGTGTCGTATCAGCAATGTCGGATTTATGAGTTCGACATATCGATCCCACTGGGAGCGTGAAGGTTAAAGTCTAAAGAAAAGTTCTGGCTTACTAAAATGAGTCTTAGCGTGGAAGTAAAGTTGGTTTTAAGTGTTGCTAACTAATTCTACGTAATTACTACCTATAATTTAAGATTTACTCCTATATAAATCATACTATATATATTTATATTAAAGTGGTGAAAATCAAGATATAAAATCTAACCTCCCATGCAATGTTATATGTAGTGTATAATAAAATCAATACTTGAAATTGTCTTTATAGCTAGAGACAAATACAAGGAATTTTCTATTTTACCCTCTCCCGAGTGCATAAAGAAGCATAGTTAAACTGGTTTTAATTCCTTAAACCCTAATTTAAACCCATCAAAGACTATTTCCCTATCTATTTGCATCTCCCTATAATTTACTTTTGCTTCATAACCTATAGTTCAATGTCAATACTCTAATCGTTCTTCCGTAGCTCTCTCGAGTCATTATGGTTCACAATATGGGTTAACTCAATTTCAAAAGCATTCTACCATTCCTAGACAAACTAACATATTCATTACAAGAGAAAGGTGAAAAGACTACTCACTAAGCATGAAAAAAACACCACAATACATCATTAACATAAAGCAAATCCACTAGGTAATTGTGTCTTACAAAAGTACAATACAAGAAAAACACAATACTTAGTTTTTTTTTTCTTCACAATGCTCTGAAAATGCTCTCCTAGGCTTTCCCAAACCCTTACTGCAGTGCTGATGTAATCTCCTTACAATAAATCTCTCAATTTTCACCAAATTCTAAAGCCCTAATTCTCTCCTACAACAATCCTCTAATGTTTCTCTTCTTCTCCTCCAGAAGTACTTCTTCTCTCCATGCCTTTTTAGAATTGCACATAACCTCCAAATAACTCCCCACGTCATGGGGATAATTGCTAAAAAAACTGCCTAGCAGTTGTTGGAGCCTAGGCGGCAAGCTCTCTGTCTGCCCAGGTAAAGACTAACGTTTAGGCGCCCAAGTGTGTGGCGCCAAAGCACTTGGGTGCAGCGCCTTGGCCCCCAAAGGCTAGCGCCCAGGCGCCAGTCACTTGGTGCTCTCTTAGCTCCATGTCACATCTGCTTCACTTCGTTTCTTCTCCACTTCGTTCCACTTCTACCACATATTGTACCTGCAAGAAAAACACAAAAAAATACCCTTCTTTAAAGTGTAATTTCATCTATACAAATGTGCATAAAGTAAAGAAATTTAAGCATGCTCTTGAACATATCATGAAGATTCCATCAACTTAAGTTCTGGAATACTAGTGGCTCCTTCTTTGAGAACCATTATCAAAGGGCGCACTTAAGGTTTGACAATGGTTTTTTGAGTAGAGTTCTTCGCATTGAATGCACTCTAAGTCACAACATCTCCAGATCCATCTTAGCTCGTCGCTCTTTGCCACTATTCTCCATCTCACTAGATAGAGCTAGCGCTCTCCCTATCACACTCAGGCTCTTGTTTTGGTATATCTCTACTCCAAAAGAGGCCGAAACCACAAGCTCACTGTGAACTATCCCTCCTTAGCTTATCCCTCCCTCTATTCCCTTAAGAATCCTAAGCAATTCCCTCCATGCTAGAACCAAGCCTGCTTTCTCAGTAGGAGAGATTCCACCACCATTGAAGCTTGACGATGGATCCCACCTCAAAGACCAAGCCTTAAAACACATTTTCCTCGACAGTAAAGGGTGGTAGATGATGGGAATGTCACTCACTTTAAGATGAAAGGTAGGAATGGTGTGCTGTGAATTGAGGACGGTAACACATAAATTATTTCTAATAGTTGGGCATTAATTTTATGCTTAATAAAGTGATTTAGGTGCTAAAATGTAAATGATGAAATTTATTGTGAAATTTAAAATATTTGTCATTTTGAGTGCTTAAATCCCCATATTTGAAACTTATAGATCAAAAATATTTATATAAAATTTTAATATATTTTATCAAGAATTAGCCCTCATTTGCAGCGATTATTTTGTTCGGTAGAAAAACCGTCCACTACTTGTTCGTCGCTGTCGCCTCCTCAGTTACTTCACATAAACTAGTCTTTTTAAGACTCCCCAGTTTCCTCCAACTATAGGGCACTGCTGTCCTATTCCAAAGGCCTTCTGTCTTGTGTCTTCTATCTTCGGATCAAGAAGGATTAGCGCCTATGGAGAGTCGGGAGAGCTCCTTTCAGACCGCTATCTCCTTCACCATTCCTTTCTCCCTTTTTCTGTCCTTTTGGGCTATCAGCATCTGTCTCTCAATTTCCTCACAGACCCAACTGCCGCTCAGTTTTCGCCTTAAAAAAACTTCAAAAGCAGACGACCACCTTAATTCCGTCGCTAACCTCTCCGTTCCTGAGCCCAAATATGCAATTCCCAAGCAACCTGATGAAGTTGGCATTGCTGAACCACCTGGGAAAGCTTTTGATTCTAATGGTAGGGGCAGTGTTCAAAATGGTATTTCGGGTGCTCTCCATCTCGATAGATCGACTATTTTATCTACCGAGGGCTTAGATTTAGTTGGGGCGGGAAAAAATGTGGACGGAAGGGGTACTGTTTCAACTACTGATGGCATAGTTTCAATTACTCCTAGTTCAGTTGCAGTGATCTCTAGCTTTAGCAGTTCGATTAGTAATGGAAGCTCTGGTAATGTCTATGAGAAGGGCAGTGCTTCAGTCCGTGCGGAGATTAGCGCCGAACCTTGTGATGTTTTGGATGGAAGATGGTTATATGATGAGAGCTATCCCCTCTATTCGAGCAATGCATGCCCCTATATAGATGAAGGTTTTAGTTGTGAGGCCAATGGGAGAACCGATACTGGCTACATGAAGTGGAGGTGGCAGCCGAATAGTTGTAACATCCCGAGGTAAAAATCCCACCCCTTAGTTATTTCAGTTCCTCATGCTTGTAATCTGAGTTTTAGCATATGGTTAAATGGAACAATTAGTTGTTGACTGTAATTTAGGTTCAACCCTGTGAAGTTTCTCAAGTTGATCAGAGGGAAAAGGCTTGTTTTTGTTGGCGATTCAATTAATAGAAACCAGTGGGAATCCATGTTGTGTTTGTTAAGAGGGGCCGTTTTGGATCCCAGCAGGGTATATGAAGCCAGAGGGCGAAAGATTACAAAGGAAAATGGGGTTTACAACTTCAAATTCATGGTAAGCCCCCGAATTATATTATTATAATTACACGGGGAAATGGTTACTGATCGCTGCTAACCTTGCTGCAGGATTACCGTTGCAGTGTTGAGTATTATGTGACTCATTTTTTGGTTCATGAGAGCAAGGCGAGGGTAGGACAGAAGCGAGTTAATACTCTACGAATTGATACCATGGATAGAAGCTCATCAAGATGGAGAGGAGCTGATATAATGGTTTTTAATACTGCACACTGGTGGTCACATCACAAAACTAAAGCCGGGTGAGTTTAAGTTCCTTAGGTGCTACATAATTACTGAATGTTGAACTAGAGTAAAAAAAGTATTAATTTCCTAGAAGAGTAAGAAGTTCAGAGAATTTATGAATTAGTGACTTTTACATTTTGATGATTCATTAACATAATGCCAAATGTGCTTTCTTGTGCTTGCCATGGTAATTTTGCTGAATGCATGGAAGAGTACTTCAGTGCTTCATTTATTTGTAATAACCTTCGTAAAGTTAAGGCACGCCTAATTTTACAAATGAAGAACACAGTAAATACACAATGTTAAATGAAAACAATGACCATACAAGAAATTCTTTTCAATATAATATGTTACACTTAACCGTATAGCATCATAAACTTGTAGTTATATGAATATTACAATTGAGATAATACAAGTAAAGCTACGGAGTAGGTTAAATAAAATTAAGCTATATTTGAGTGAGATATGTAACTTGCATGTTCAATGTAAATGGCGAACTCAACATAACTCAGCTATGCAATGTGTTTAATAACACCACTAGTTACACATGTGTAAATCTAAATAAATTGGTATGTTGATGTATTTATAATGCTAAATGTGAGTGCATGAAGCTTTATGCCCAACTAAGAAAACTAACTCTACACAGAGTTAGTTTCACGTGCCAAATGCAAGTTGATAAACTTGATTGAATCCTAGAACTTCAAACCTAATTTTTAATTTGTCTTATGTTTGTAAACAAAAAAGTACAAGTAAATAATTGATTAGGATAGCCAATGCAAGTTACTGGTTTGATGAAAGCCAAGCTAGCATTTACACTTGACCAACATCTTGACCAAGATTACCAACTATTGGAGTTTGCCTTGTAAACTCCATCCTGGCAAAGAAAGACAACATCAACATTTTTTTTTTTTGTGTAAGTTCCAAGAGAAGTACTTTGAAGAGTTCTAGAAAAGAAATATTTTGATATTGCTTATATTGAATTCATTAATGATATATATTCTAGAGCTTTAATTTGTGCTCGAACACAAGGAGGATTGATAAAGTATTTTCTTATTTGAGTTGGATTACTTCGGGGATCAACTTTAAGCCCATATCTTTTGCCTTCGTTATGGATGCTCCTTTTGGAGATTTATAGGAGAATGTAGTTTGTTGTATGCTTTTCATTGATGATGTATTTCTTATGGATAAGAGTAAATAGAGTTCAGGAAAAACTTGAATTGTGGACGTTAAATTTAGAGTCTATTGGATTTCATTTGAGTAGATCTAAAAGTGATTACATGGAATGTATATTTAGTAGTAGTAGATTTAGTGGCAGGCAGTTAGACGGTGTGAATTAAAATTTTTAAGTTTATTTTCTATAAGTATTAACAAATGAAAGAGCTACTAATCAAATTAAATTAAAATAATTTAATTAAATTTATTTTATTATCGATTGCCCATGTCTTTTATAAATATTCTCTTATGTTGATCATCTTTTAATAAATTATAATTGAAAAGTTAGTTTAAAATAACTGTAAGCTAACCAAATCTAGTGAATACTCACATTCATATATACAATAATGCAAGAAAAGAAATAATATGCATGCCAATTAAGCATTTAATAAATCCATATAAACTTTTAATATTTTACAAATATGTTGCTTCTCAATAAATTTTACTATATCAATAACATATCTATCTTATTCTATATCTTTACAGCAGTCAAAGGAGAAACGCCTAAAAATTATATCAGTTAAAGTACTTCAATATCAAATTTACAACAGTCAAAGGAGCAACGCCTAAAAATTATACCAGTTAATGTACTTCAATATCAATGCCTTTCTTTATCTACGTATACGGGTATCTTAACGTTTTCCCGATAGTACCATAAATGGATGACTTTATTATAATCAATCATGCACATTAACGTATTTATCACATTCAAGTCAATATACCATATACTATATACTGTATATATGTAATAAAAGAATGGCCGGATGTTATGACATGAGCCTCCAACCACTCTCATATGTCTAACCACTCGATCCCACACTTCAAGGCAAATTCACTCAAAAGGGATCGAACTCGTGACCCTAGGGACTTACGCTAGGCTGCACTACCAAAAAATCATGACTTGCGACGCACGTGCACACACACACAATTACGCTCACACACACACAAACACATACACAATTATATATAAGTAATGACCAGAGGCTATTATATGAGTCTCCAACCACTCCTAATGTGTCTAGCAATTCGAGTACCAATTATATATAAGGAATGGTCAGAGGCTATTATATGAGTCTTCAACCACTCCTAATGTGTCTAGCAATTCGAGTACCACCTCCTTAAGGCCAACTGTGCCAGAGGGGATTCGAACCTTGGACTTGAGGGGTCTTATGCCGTGAATGTCAATCAACAGGGTGAGATACGCGGCACACACACACACATATATGCATATATTTATCTATCAAGAGAGAGAGAGAGAGAGCATTAACCAATGCATGATAGGAAGTAGGTACAAATATATAACATTTTTAACAATGTGATCTACAAGAAAATAACATATCAATCAAAATAAAGCTTCAACATGTATCATTAACTACTAGTGCAAAATAGTTGAAAATAACAAAATATTACCATAGATTAACATTACGAGTTGAATTTGCCTTGATCATGATTCTTCTAAAGTTGATCCCTATAATAAATGTGATATTCATATTACTAAAATTTAACTTATTCATATTATTTAAATAACTATTAATTTTATATTTTTTAAGTATTAAATTGTTCATTGTTTTACTTTATAAAAACTTAATTATTTTTTTTTATTTCTATTCAAATTCATTAGTTAAACAATAATGTAAACCCAATTTTTTTTTTATCAAAGTTTGCTTAGGTCAATCTTCCTTCTCTAGCTCGAACACTTCGCCTCCTTCTATTCCCCTCCAATCTGAAAATTTAAACAAAGAGTCTTAATTTAATAAAATTTTCTATTAACAGTACAATATATATTATATATATATATATATATATATAATTTTCTTTTTAAATCAATTAAATAAAATCATTAAAATTTTCTTTTAAAATCACGGTCGAGTTCAAACCTGCAGACCCGCGCGACTTCGCTTCGTGTCCTTCCTCTTTTGCACACATGATCTAGATCACACGCACAAGAGCTCTAGCTTCGACCTCCCCCTGCACGAGCTCTACTTCTTGTTCCTCTACAACTTTGGTCGATGTCGCAGCTCTACTCAGCAACACAAACCCTTGATGCCCCCACCTCCTTCTTACTCTCTGCTCGACAGAGGCGTCGTCTTCCATCAATGTCATTGCCTCTGGCTACGAGGAACTCCTAACTTGCGCTTGTCGGTCTACTGTCATTATACTCACCGTTCAACTCTCTCGGAAAGTCTTCCTCATGGTCTCGCCTGTCTACCCACTCGATAATTTATAGAACGAAGATATTTCTTCATTTCCCCACCCCTCACTTCCTCTCCCCTCTTCAGTTTCTGACTCTTCGCTTTATCTCCTCCCCTTTATTTCCTCTCGGGTCAATGAAACGAAGCTTCACAATTATAATAATGGGTGATCACATGATTAAAAGTAGTGAACTTTTAAGATATCTCGGGTTTATTTTTCAAAGTGATGGTGATATAGATGGGGATGTTATTAGTAGAATTCAAGTTGGATGGTTGAAGTGGAGAAATTCATCGGGCCTATTGTGTGATAGAAAAGTACCGCTTAAACTAAAAGAAACTTTACAAGATTGTGGTGAGACCTATAATACTTTATGGAAGAAATTTTACAAGATTGTGGTGAGACCTATAATACTTTATGACGCTAAATGTTGGCTTTTAAATGAGAAGTATAAAATTAAGTTAAGTTTTGCTGAGATGAGAATGCTAGGTGGATGAGTGGTTTTACACTAGGAGATAAAATGTGAAACAAATATATCTGTGAAAAGGTTAGAGCAGCTATAGTGGCAGACAAGATTAGAGACAGACGCCTTAGATGGTTTGTCACATTAAATGTCTACCATCTGATGACCCTTTTAGGCAGTCGATGTTTTAAATTTGACTTATGCTAAGAATGATAGAGGTAGACCTAAAAAGACATTGGCATGTGGATAAAAAATGATCTTAATTTATTAGAATTAAATGAAAATATGACACTCATTAGGACACAATAAAGAAAATGATTCATGTAGCTGATCACACTTAGTGGGATAAAGGCTTGTTGTTGTTGTGCATGTGCAACGTGACGTATTCTTCAACTCCAAAAAAATACTATTCCCCTTTGACAAGAAAATATACCAAGTTTTGCAAGACTTTGGAGGTAAATTGAATACTTTTTCCTTCTATTCTCTCAACTAAAAACTCTAAAAAACACTTGATTTTTATTATACAATGAAATCCTTAGAATAAAATTATGACAATTAATTTTCAAATTTAAAAGTAGAAAAGCTCCCGCGCCCTTAGGGATTTGAAGCGATTTTACCAAAATGACTTAACCTCAATGAACACTTGAAATTGATGAATACTTCTCATCTTCCTTATCTTTTGTAATACTTCACACATGATCATGCATTTCATACTTGAGAGAGAGGTGGGGGGGGGGGGGGGGGGGACAAAGAGAGAGAGAGTTTAAGATTTTTGGGTAGTTTCTTATTAGATTTCTATGAATGAAATTTATAGCTAAATCCATTGAAAATGTTTTAGAAAAAAATAAATATGGAAAATTCTTAAAAGTGTTTTAAGAATTTTTGGAAATCTCAAATGATACAAAGATATGGTCGTTACTCATAAAATTACTCATTTTTGTATGCTGCAATAATATCATCTATTGTAGATTCTACCAAAACAATCATCACCAGCATTTGAAGACAAGCCTCGGGCCATGCAGTAGGCCAGTGGTGAGTTGCACGGGGCAGGGAGTCGTGTGCATGCAGCGCTATAGGGCACAAAGCAAGCAATATTGTGATAGCATGGACTGCTTTTTTTGCACAAGGTGGGATAGAGCGCATGGCATGTTT